TTTTTTATTTTTTACTTGGCCACACCCTGCCGTAGGCCCGTGACCTCTCACGTTTGCTCTCAATCATGCCAATGAGTCTGTGCAGTGAACACACCAGTACGCCACGCCTGCCATGACGCACACCACAATTTCATTATAAGCATCAATCAAGATGCCGGAGAAAAAAATTAACATCTTGTTTTAACCACGGACACAAAAGTTATACCACAATTCATGCACAGTCAATGTCAACCAGATACTGAGAGAGAGACACAGTGCATCATCGTGTCATGTGTGCTGGGATGCAGTATTTTGCACTTACTTTGTAGTAATAGAGTGTGTTGACTGAAATAAGTTTGTATGAATAAAGTTTTTGTTTTTGGAGAATCATAATATCTCTTATCTGTTGTATTTGAGCAGGACAGGGATGCAATTTGGTGACACATAAAACAAATTTCCAACATTGTGTCTTTCCATCATTTCCATCATGTTTGATGTGCTTGTAGATCACAAGCATTTCCTAATTTCACTTCAGAATTTTTTGTTATATTTAATCTTTTGTTATATTTTTTATACTGTCATCATTTGTAAAGTATATATATATATTTACTTTCCTTTACCTTTACCAAATTTACCTGTATTTACTTTGTTTTCATATTTGGCGACTTTTTGTGAAAAATGGAGACTTTTGAGAGTGGTTCTAGAGATTTGGCAACACTGCTCAGAACACGGAATCATTCAGCAATGAATCGGCTGTTTGCTGCGAGGTGCGCTGTGGTTCCGCCTAAAATGTAAGTGACCTAATATTATTGTAGCCTACTTGCTTAACTTATTGAACTATTAAACAGTCGTAATGGTGAAAACGTTGTGTGATGTTGCCTAACTAACTGTATTTTAAATATAACAATTTTTCACCTTGAATTTTTACCTTAGCATGCTTACTTGTCTGGCGTTAATGACGCGTTAATGTCGAGCCCTGGAGTCTATGTGCCGGGACTCAGCCCCGGACGGCCCCGGCCCAATTTAAACCCTGGTTGTAAGTATAAATCTAACACAATTTAGTTTGGTTTATGCTAAAAACAGGAGGGAAAAACTCTTTGCCTGGGGGATAAGAAAAATAAAATAAATTATTGTCAGGTTCTCTGAGAACAAGTCCAATTACTTTTTTCACATTTTTTATATGATTTTAAAGATGGTTTTTCTTCTGCATCGTTAAAACATCATTATCTATCTGATAAATCAACTATAATATAAAAATAATAATTGTTGTAACTTCATTACACTGCAAAATGTTCTATGGCTAAAACTTTTCAAAGGTCAATGGTAAGTCAGTGTGCTCACCAGCTTTTGACAGAGTTGTGCCGGGGAGCGCTGAGAACAGCAGGATATGGCCAAGTCCAGCCATGCTTGTGTCCGCTTCTCTCCTCCCTCTCCCTGCACCTCCTTCTGCATCCTGCAGGGAATAAAGCACTGATGAAGAGATTTCCACTGATCTACAACCAGCTCCTTCCTTTCAAATGCCCTGTTGTTAAATAACATCTACTGACGATGTTGTTTTCTAGTCTAACCGTGACTTACCGAGTTTTGAACGCAGGCAGGTCCAGTCTGAAGTACCGCGAACAAGTGTCATCCAACTTGGACAGAAGTGCCTGAGTCATTTTCAATTTACTCTCCTGTCCGATAAAAGTTGAGAGAGAGAAAAAAAATGAAAGAACAGTTTGACCAGTAATCCAACCCTTAAAATCAAAAATGACTATGTACTGTATTTTCCTCGTCAATGTACAAAATCAAGCAGCGGGAGAGAAGATGAGAGTACCGTGTCATTGTTATGACAGCTCGGGCTTGGATAGCACCCAGCGAGTACAAAGAGCCCCCTGTCGCTCTAAATTAACTGAAATCTCGCAACACTCTCTCGTTGGCGAGCGAGCTCCATTTGTGCATGCTAATGATGTACATTCATTCTCTGGATACAGATGCAGTTGCGCCCTTCATTTAGATGCTCTCACCAGCAACTCTTTGCACTTCGCCATTTACTGTATGTGGAAAAAACAGCGAGCGAGCAGATAATTGGAGGATCTGCAAGGGAAAACTGAAAGGCTAAATTAACCAAACGGTGACGCGCTTTAGATCAGGTTACCTGTGAGATTTTGACATCATTGTCAAGCAGGGAAAAGTAGTTCTCATAGAGCTCCAGTTACAGCATTAAAATAGGATTTCATCAAGGTTATTTTTCTCAAGCATCTTTATGCAATGCTGTCTACCTCAACTCAGTGTGATTTCGTCTTGTATTATTGGCAAAAGAACCTTGGAATCCATCAGCATAGCATTTCAGCTCTGATGAGAGCTTCAAACAATACGATCCCAATCTCAAAACCAATATGAGGCTTCACAGCAAAATGAAGTCACTCAAGTGAGGCATTGTGCTGCAAATGATCTAGACATGCATCAAAAAGATCGCAGCCTCTCACAATAGCCGTCCACGCAGGGTTTGAGCTATCTTACTGTCACAAAAAAACACAAGCACAAAACACAAAAACCACTTGAAATCTAAAGAATGGCCTGGTTGTGTAATTCAAATAACTGAAAACCTGCTGCTAAGCACAGAACATGTGGTTTCAAATCTACCTGTAATGAAACAAAGATCTCCTGTCATGAACCAGAGACTGGTAGATCTTGTCAGTCTCAGGAGGAATAGCGTCATCTCACCTTCTCTGTTAAACACGTTGTGATGTCAGCAGATGAGCAGCAGGCCGTTACTGTGTTCTTGATTCGATCGAGAACGGTCGTCAGCACAGGGAGAGAAATGGAGGCATGATTCACTCCAGTTAGAAACAAGTATCTGGAAACACACACACACATATGTATATACATACATAAACACGCTTTTGATTTCATTCTATACATTGACTTCTGGATACATGCTATTTTGTAATTCTCCTGCTGTGTCATACATCATGAGTTTATTCCTTTCTCGTGGCCACTACTATAAATGCTAGTTCTGAGGGCAGGCCATGAGCAGAAATGTTCAGCCAACCAGCAGAAGGCTGCAAGACCTCAATGTGTTTTGAAAATAATCTCTATAGGAGGTTCTGGTCTCTTCACCCTAGGTTTCACTGTAATACTAGGACGTGTTTATTTAGTATTTGAATTATTTGCTATGTCTTTAGTCTAATAACTAGTAGTATGCACTGCAGACAACATGCTGTCTTTATATCATAATAACTATTTCTCACACAGTTTAAATGGGTCTTTATAGGAAGGGGCCGTTCCCAACTAACACATTTAACCAGACTTCCTTCTAACATGTTACTAAACATTATACTATCCTTTAGAATTATCATTAATAGTGTTTGTGTGTGTGTGTCATTTTTATTTCCTTTTTATATTTATATATATATTTTTTAATTTCAGATTTAGTAAATTTAATACTTATTTAGTACTCATTTATTTCAGGTAACAATTTAGTTTTTATTTTTTAAGTTTAAAATAACTATATATTTTTGTAAATTTTATTTCAGCTTTATTTTAATTAACAAAAACGATTTTTCATAGTTTTTAGCTTTAGTTAACAATAACAACACAGTATATTATTACAAAAAAAAAAAAACAGTTGCTAAAAATACATGAAACACATCTTTAATGGAATTTAATTATCATAGAAGCTAAACAAGGATGAAATAACGGCTACAAGTGTAATACACAATCACTTGAGGTTATGTTAATACAAAACAAAACAAAAAAAAAAGTGGAAAAAACATCTAAGCAAGAATCTGGACTTCTACTAAAGCCAAAACACTTAAAGTTGTAATTTTAGTTTTATATGTTTGACAAAGCAAATGCCCCCTGGATGGGAACAGGGATATTAAAGGCTTTTCACTCAATTTGTGTTTTTGTGCTTTATGAAAACAGAATTTTGGTGGCATAAGTTCCTTTCACACACTGTAGTGCTTAAAATAATGTATTTATATATTTTTAAAAGATGATATACAAGTCATAAAAAAATTAAGAATTTCGAATTTTATACTCCACCACCAGAGGGTAAAGTTGGACAGTGTAATGACTGACGAATGACAGCCTTATGAGGGAATTAGTACGCTTTTAAGTATCCTTTATTTTAATATTAATGAAAACTTCTGTACTTCTCAAATTTTTGACGGAGCACCCTGTCTCACATTAATTACACTTACATACACACAGAAGCTACTACAAATGACCTGGTATTAGCACCCCGAAGCCCTGTGAAAATGTCACCTTTAATGACACCAGGCCCTGAGGTAAACTCAGCAGAACTCGCTAGAACACATTCGAATTCTATGTTGAGTGGCTCATCTAATTACAGTTCAAGATAAACTAAACATAGGCTTCTGTGCACGGCTGTCTGCCCCTCAGCAAGAGTTCATTCTTTCTTGTCCACCCAGGCACACAAATAACTTCATAAGCCTCATTCAGCACAGCATGTGCAGTGCATACTGGCTACATTTTCACTAAATGAGAAAGGCATGAGGTGCTGATCAGAGAACAGTCAATTGAAGCTGGCCATCATGGGAGAAAAATAAGTCAGCTTCTGGTGTTTTTTTAGATCTTTTTTTGAGGGCAATCTGTTCTAATGGTTGGTGCTCAGGAAAATGATTGTGAGTGTGCAAGGCAAATTGAAATAAGTCTGATCTGTATTAATATGAAAGTAATTTGATCCCATTAGTTGTGGGAATATATAAGAAAAGTCTCCACCACATGAACTCCACCTATCTTTAATCTGCTCATTCATGTCCATGGGGAAAATTTAAGGTCCAGCCGTGGCCCACATTCTCCTGGTGCAAATCAAGTTTTACCTTCATTCTGATAACTGGATAAATTAATTTTTAGGATCAGACGAGAAGGTGCTCTTTTTGATGCACAGTTAAGACTAGATTTCAGGTGCTTCTTGCAGCCTAAATAGATAATTGGTTTGATCTGTCTGTGGAAAATTGATCACAAGAGGCATCCTGAGCTTCAGTATCTGATAATGCAAATTAAGCAAACGTCTGAAGCTTATTTTCTCATTTCTAAGCATTCAGAGAGACATTTTGATAATATCCACAAATTCAGAGCCACGTTATGAATAATTCATGACTATTTGCACTTTTGCCCTTTAAGAGACTAGCTAAAGATCAAAATCAAGAGGAATGCTCTCTATTGTGTGGGGACCGGGATTATTCCCATAGTGGGTCATGGTGAATGCACAATATGCCAGTTACATTACTCAGCGTCGCATTAGCATTTACATCACATTAGGCAAGACGGATCAAAATATAATGTAGTGATTGCAAGGTCTTCCTTCAACAAAACACTTGATCTTTGCACATCATAATGAATTGAGCTGGCTAACATCAGGAATATATTTTCCGGCTGACCTTTGCTTTTAGACACACACGGATTCCCTACCTCCACATATTTGATGAATAGTAAATTAGCACCTGTCAATCCCATGTGGTTGAGCTTCTTCACAGAGCTTAGATGAAACAGGATTGGCTACATCTGGAGATTGACGGGGTTGCCTTTTCAAGTCATCCAGGCAGAGCAGGGTATCCAGGGCAGGTTTCTTGCAGCACTTATGGAAATCCTCAGACATGGCATTCAGGTTGGATTCACCGCAGATAACTTTCTGAAAGCTTGTTAGCTATTATGAAGAGAAAAGCCTTTTTATCTTGAAAAGGTAGAATAATCACCTTCCATCATTTCCTTCTCTTGGTATTTTGAAATAACCACTCCACTTACATAATTCACCGTAAATGGCACAAATAATAATGATCAAAATTGAACTGAACAGGAACAGCAGCTTTGATAAAAAGCAGTTGCAGGTATTGGTATTAATTAACTGTCACCGTCCCACCTGTGGGACGCTTGGTGCTCTTTTATTTTGCTGTCCTTTTTCTCTATCAAATGTTTTAGTAATCATCATAAATTATATATCGTTTGAAAGCTTAGAAGCCCAAGATACATCCTGTGAAAACCATATTGAAATCGGACATTGCGTTACCATTGAAATGGTACTTTAAAATCTTTTGGCGGTCTCCTCCCCCTTAGGGGACGGTGTCAAGTGTCATATTACAAAATGTATTACGGTCTTTTACAAAGCCCAAGATACATCCTGTGAAAACCATATTGAAATCGGACATTGCGTTACCATTGAAATGGTACTTTAAAATCTTTTGGCGGTCTCCTCCCCCTTAGCGGGCGGTGTCAAGTGTCATATTACAAAATGTATTACGGTCTTTTACAGTCAAAACTGTTTTTAATCTTGACATAAAACATATCATTGGAGTCTCATGATTCCATATTTGGTGGTTATTTTGTGATAGAAGTAATATTGACAGAGAAATCTAGACATTTGTGACAGAAAAAGGCATTAAAAAAATTCAATGGAGTTTTGATGGCACCCGGTGACTGTTTGTGGTATAACGCCCTAAATAAAATCTCACAGAAACCTAAATTTTTTTCATATCAACTTCAAATTTGGAACATAACTTATTTAGACATAAGGCTTTACTTTTTTTTTTCTTTTTTTTTTGCAATTTTAGATTAAAACCTGTTATGTAAAATATTTATTTTATATAAATTATAATACAAATTGTACAGTGCATTTTCTTTACAGTAAATGTAAACTTCTTATTTTTTTTTTTTTATAATTCCACTTCTGCAATAATCTGCTGACTGTCTTCTTTAAAAAGAGACCAACCTTTCCTCTGTATTCCAAAGTGTCAATTATAATAATTTAAGTTTGGATAGTGCACTTTAATGCCTATTTTAAAGCAGCACTATGTAACTTTTGGCGCTCTAGCGGTTAATAAACAGAACTGCACACATCCCGCGGAAGAACATTCCAACCGGAGCTACTTCTCTAAGTTTATGTCTATGGCGATTCACGCAGGTATGTGTTACTCCGCAGCGGTGACGACCCGACCAGGCTACAATAGTCCAAATATAAATACTTATTATAAGTGTACCGTAGTGATTCGGAATAAGACAAAAACGCGGTTTGGAAGATGAATTCATGATGTACTCGCTCATTATATACATTTTGCAAATTTTGAACACAGAAAAAGTTACATAGTGCTGCTTTAAAAAATAGGGCTGACAGTTAAGGGGTGGTACAGCCAAATTCAGAACCACTGAATAAAAGAGAAAAAAAAAGTCAAATTAGAAAGAAGTGAGTATTATGTATTCCAGTAGTTGGATTGTTTTTCATCAGTTACCAAGGATAACGTCTCAGGTTACGTATGTAACCATGGTTCCTCGAGGGAACGAGACGCTGCGTCGAGGACGCTTCGGGAACGCCCTTCAGCACTCGCACTGGACACATACAGTTTAGCTTCTGCTGGTCTGGATCCCCGAAGGGACGAGGACTGAGGGCCTGGAGTACGACAGGCCGTGGTGTAGAGGAGGGGACCTTAGGAACATACCCCGCTCGAGGGAACAGAAACGCTTTGGCCAGACCGGGCGCAAAGTCAAGATAAGAAGGGGCCACTGAAAGGGCCTGCAGATCCCCAACTCTCTTGAGAGAAGATATCGCCAGAAGGAAGGTAGTCTTGATAGTAAGGTGGCGATCAGAGATCTCC